GTCCCCTGGCCCTGCTGCCAAGCCCAGCTCCGTCCCCAAGGCCAGCAGCAGGGTCCCGGACACCCTCGGGAGTTACCAAACAGGGTGACGTGCCGAGGCGGGCCCCGACGCGGAAGGAGCGGGGCCACCGGTTGAGCATTAACCCGGCACTGCTGGACTTGGACCATGGAGAAACCGGTTGCACCGGAGCCAGTTTCACTGGAAGTCCCCAGGGGCTAAATATATCTTCCTTTGTTTGGTTTTCCTTCCCCAAAAGAAAACTCGGGATGCAATCACACACCTTACCACACAGATCCCCATCCCAGAAACTAACTGGCTGCAGCCGTAACAGAATTTTGTTGAGGATATTGAAAACCAGGTATCACATGGGTGCTGGCAGACGTCGCGACTGGAGCTGAGACGCTCCCGCGGCCACGAAGCCACCAGGCTCTCTCATGTGCAAGGATGGGCAGCGCAGCACCGAGCTCACGAAGTGCTTAGAGGCATCACCTCAAGTCTGCAGGACCTGGGCACGTCTGAAAGGGAACAGCTGAAATGTACCACGGAAACGATTTTGTGACACAAGGAGACAGATTTTTACTGCTCTGAAGTCCCGGAGTCTTTCATCAGACAGACATGGAATGAAAGATTCAGGGCAGCGCGTCGGCATCCTGCTCCGAATACCTGAGAGGCTGCAGCCGACCTCCCCGCAGGAACATAAGGATTGAAAAGGAGCTTTTCCCAAGGGACAAAGTCCAACTTGCCGTCCCCAGAGTCACCACAGCACCAGGGGTGCTGTTCCCACGGGGAAAAAGCGCGGAGCCTGGGCAGGAGCTGCCACCCCTTGACTCGCCCGTGGGCGCTGCCCTTCCAGCTCAGGCAGAAGCTGACACTGCCCTCTCTTGGGCTCACCCACGCACAGCAGCAAGCTTCTCAGGAGAAACAGCCCACCAAAAGTGGCTTATGGCATGCACAATCTTAAACTGAAGCTCTGCTTTTAGACCCAGCCTGGAGCACTGAAACACAAGGGGTTTCCGACTTCTCCCCTCCAGGTTTCATCTTTTGCTGTTTGGCAAAAGGATCGGATACCGACATTTCGCTATAGTGGCAGCAGCAGTTTCAGGGGGACACAGAACACGACCCAGGAACTCGTCCGGGCTTACAGCAGGGAGATGCTCTGGCGAGAGAGTCCAGCCTTTTGCTACTCAAAGCATGCTCAGAGCCTCCTGACAATCAGGCGGTGCTGCTTCCAACCGTGCGAGACACCCTCCCTTTAGCAACAGCTTCCCACACTGCCTTCTTCCTCCTTCCCATAAGGCATCTATGGCTTTAATAGAGTTTTAGGGTTTTTGTTGTTTTTTTTTTAAATCAGCAAAATTAGCGACCATGGGATGGCTGGAACCGCCAGTGCTGACTGCAGCACATCCAGCAGCGAGAATGAAATCTGGTACAAACACGTATTTCTTCAGCTTTTTCAAAGTTGGAAGTAGCCTGACTTGAGGCCACAAACATCCCAGAGATGCCGAGCGGGCAAGAAGAGCGTGTGAGGTGTGTGACAGCCTGCACCACTCAGCGCTGCACTGGAGAACAGTCCTTGGTTGAACATCAGGGCCTTCGAGGCTCTGAAATGCACAGCCCCACCGGCCCCTACCTCAAGGGGAAAGAGAAGTACTTATTCCCCGACTTGCAGCGGATTTGCTCCCATTGGACACGCAGCAGGAGTGGCGAGTCCTCAAACCCGTCCACGATGTCCTGGAAAACAGATGCAGGAGTCAGTACCAGGAGAGCGGATCTGCCAGAGGACAGAGTCGGCAGCTCCCTCTCGGAACCAAGTCAGAGATGCGGCCGTTTGTGGCTGGAAGCTTCTGACTTCCCTCTGGAGGGTGATTTAACTCACGCTCCCCCCCAAAAGCTTCTCTTCTTCCACCCAGTGAAGTTTGTCTTGCTCAGTGAAGAGAATTTCTCACTCTCACGCTCGGCAGGGAGACGTGGCTGGACACCAGCTCTGCTCTTCCCCTGCTCTCTGCGCTGTGTGGGGACGCACCTGGAGCTCCCGCAGACACTGCCCTTCCAGTCTGCCAGACAGGTCCCCAACGCACCAGGCCAAGCTGATATGGAACGACGGGTCCTGAAGACAAAACAGGGATGAGATTGTAAGGGCTACAGGATGCTTTGCTCGACGCACGGAGCCGCAGTGGGAGATCTGGTGTGATGCCGCCCTGCCTGGGATTGCAGAGGTAGGAGGATCCTGAAGCTGGGAGCCCCCTCTGCCAGCTCAACAGTTGCAGAGCTGATATGGACAGTGCTGGAGGTGAGATGAGTCCTGGGCTCCCCCCCCAGCCTTTTTGGACACCAGTGGGTGAGGCTGCCTGGTTCCCAGCCTCCCTGTGGTCAATTCTACAGAAGCTCTTCCAAACTGCACAGAGAACGTCTCACGGACTGTCCTGGAGCAGGTAGGCGGGTCACTTCTGGATAACCCACAAGAGCCCCCTGCTCAGCTCTGGAGACAGAGAAATCAGGGTCTGGCCCCTCGAAATCCAAAACCTGCCCCCAAAGCTAGTACCAAGCAAAGAGGTTGGACTGATGCCCTAGGAAACTGCCCAAGGAAAAGGCACAAGCATTGCCCTCAGACCTAGGGTGCTCACCCTAAGCCCATTCAACCCCAGGACAACCCCGCTTCCACACACAGCAGGACAGCGACCATGGCATATGCTGTGGCCCTTTGCCCTGGAAACCCAATTCTCAAGAGGCTGCCAGACAGTTAACATCCTTACTCTCCTGCACAGGACGTGACACAGAAGTCATAGACTTGTACTAGTCACATTCTCAGCAAGATCGCATTCGGGGTGTTAAGTATGAACATCAGCGACCAGCCCAGAGGAGACCTTTTCAGAGTCTAACCTCCCCGCTCCCGTTTTTATTTCAGGTGAACATTTCAAGGACGTCTCGCAGGGAATCAGCCAGCATTTCTGGACCAGCAGGGAAGTAAGTGGGGGATGCCTCACCTTGTAGAATGTGGGAAGGTCAAATTCCTCTAGAACTCTGTCCACCTCTGAGACCAGCTCCAGCAGCTGGAAATGCCCAGCTGAGACCTCCAATCCAATAAAGGTCCTAAAGAAAGACAAGAAAAGACAGCAAGCACCCTTTCATGCTGCAGAAAACACAGCGATAAGCATACTTAGCCCTGAATTCCTACCGGGCAAATTCCCTACCCAATAACGTAAGTTAATTTGAGAAATGCCAGGATTCGAGGATGCTGACTGTATTCTGAAGAAAACCAGAAATAAAGATGTGGTAGCAGGGAGAAGCAGGATGGGATGATATACCATGTAGATTTACTTGATTAACTCAGCACCTTTTGGGACGTGAAAACTCATTTTCTGGGCAAAGGACACACTCCATGGGTATTTCAGCAGAGCATCGTGCCGTGCAGGAGCTGCGCTCAAAAAGCAGAAGTTGCCGGAAGGGTTTTACGGTGGGAGAGGAAGCGGGGAACGGAAGTACCCAGCTGGAGAGATGTGACAAAGAGCTACCTCCTCAAGGACTGTCTGGATGAGGCTTTCTAGACTTCAGGAGGGGAGGGGAAGACCAAGTCTCACCCAGGATCCACTTCGTCTCGCCCATGACTGTCGTGGGCTGCCTTTCCCGCTAGATTCAGCAACTTTTCATAATTTTAATCACCTTTGCTTTGACACTTAAACTACTTAATTGCATTCAGTTGGAATCAAGCTTCCGAGCTGACACCCAGGAGAATTAGCACTGTCTGAGCTACTTGTCTCCAGCTCTTGGAAGACCTGCACCGCAATTTCACGACAAGCACTGCTGCCAAAAGAGGTGGCCCCCAGCTCTGCTCGCCTCAGGCTGCTCATGCTGGCACGAGGGTTTGCAAAACCCCAGAATAAACCAGATGGGAGATGGCAGCAAATGCAGCTGCCTCTTTTAGCTGCTGTGAAACCATAGCACGAATCTAACCCCAGCAGAAAGGCCTGCTTCAGGTCATGCTGTGAGCACACTGCCTCTCTTCAGAAGACTGAAATCCTGCAGCCTGAGGTTCGGCCACCGCTAATGAGACCAACGGCTTGCAGAAAATCAGTGCTGAAGGTAAAAATTTGTGCAAGTGGCTGGGGAAAGGTGTGAAACCTCTGGAGGCAAGGTGATCACATACTGCCCTGTCACACGGCTCAGCCCGGTCACTGTAGGACAAGCAGGTAACACTTCCAACCCACCCAGCACCTTGCCCAGCCTTGTCCCCAGGCAGGCAGGCTGCCCCGCTGCTCGCTCACCTAGTTTTGTTCTGGTTGGTGTAAACCTTCACTTGGTCAGCCACACAGAAGAACCTGAAATAAGAATGATCCTATATCAGCTAGTGGGGGAAAAAAAAAAAAAAAAGAAAAACAGACAAGACAGGGAGGGGACAGGAATTCTACAGAGCTGTGGAAAGATAAAGGCGAATGCATGCCGCAGATGGACCAAATCGGTGCAACCAGAACCTTTCTGGGCCCAAATTAATCCATTCCCCCCTGGTTTCCAGCCCTCCAAAACCCAGATGGTGACAGAAGCCCTGAAGCAACCGATGCTCGGCAGGCACCCGAGCCATATGTAAGCAATGAAACCATCCGTCCTTCATGGGATGGAACAGCTCTAGCCTTGGCCTTGTCAGCTGAGACCTGACCTGCCTGGTGCCGGATCCCGAGGTAGAGAGGAAAAGCTCCCCAGGGCTTTACTGGTGCAGCAGCAGCTGCCAGAGATGACTGAGGGTGCGGACGCTGGTGAAACACAGGCCTCGAGGCAGAGGGAAGGGCGTGAGGAGCGCTCTCCCAGGGCTGTGCCGTCCGTACCTGTGGAAGGCGGCCAGGCGCTCCTTGAGGGAGCGGACGAAGGGGTCGATCCAGTGGTAGCGCAGCACCACGCACTGTGAGAGGCTGAGGTGGAACTCCTCCATGGCAGCCAGCGAGGAGACGTAGGTGCGAGCGCAGGACACCAGGAGCTCCAGCAGCTCCAGGAATTCCTCCTGGACTCTGTCTGCGGGGCAGCGCAGTCACAGCCGGGTCCCTCCCGGCAGCA